GTTTTATCCTGCTTAGGAACTGTATCGGGGAAAGATAAAATGCGCAGACTGTGTCGCATTTCCATCCTTAGTCAATGGAACGCTGGCCTAAAAGCATAATTTTTCGTGCCTGTTCCTCCTTGCTACTTCGTTCTCACTTTAGTACCGCCCAACCATTCCTACCTGGGTTCTATCCATCCGGTAGAAGTAGAGGTATCACTGGTAACGTAGACTGCTTCACAACGAGCTTTTCAAATGGTTTGCGGCCACGGTAAGTGTCATTTGGTTAAGCTGTTGTTAGCATTCCCGCAGTACGCGAAACTGGGATAGTCACTTTCAGCCCTTCTCTTAATGCTCGTCTTAGATTCTCCCTTTCTTCCGTCAAGTCAAGGTCTAGCAATCAAAAATGGAAATTAGGGCGGTTGTTTTAAAGGATCCGATTCGCTATCCCTTGTCACTAATGTACATGGTCGAGTCTTGCCTGAAGGCGAAAGAAGACATAGGAGCTGGATGCGGGTATCTACTTGTTTGGCCTGGAGGTCATGCCGCCCGAAGGAAGGCCAAAGGCGAAGCTACCAGTGTTCTTGAAACCGAAATGGAGAGTTAAAGTAATAAACACTGGAGTTACTCATAGATCAATTCGTAGTTTATCAGACAAAAAGTGGCATCCTCACGTAAAATTATCCTCCCATGGTTACCACCACCTCACAATTTTTTTGAATTAACTCAGCAAGTTCGCCAAATTTTGCCCAAAAATTGCACAGAAATAGGTTTCAGACCTTTTAAAAACTTGCAATTTGTTTCTGACTCTGATTTCTTTTAATTAAAGCTCAGAATTCTACCCTTTACCCTCTCCCCATATTTCAAGTGGATAGTCTCAAGAACAATCGTTGAAAGAAGAATTCAGTGACGGGCGTTGGCTGACCGACGGAGGTCCTAGGTTTGCAAAAGCAAGAGTTAACTTCCATTCATAGGCTCATGCTACTCTCTCCGTGGAGGCCATGATTGTAAGCGCGGGAATTGCAAAGAATAGTCAAGTTTAGCTGGCATTATTCTACAGACGTTTCACAAATCAAAAGCATTAAATTACGAATCGAGTTAATATTCATGACAGCGGCACGTTAATACGTGAACCAAGCATATTTTTGTCACTCTTCGTCATTTCTGGTCTGCATTTTGGTACTTTTCATGGTTACTTGTGAGGAAGGCGGAGCTTTGTAATACACCGCTCTTAGACGGAGAAATGCGCGAGGATTTATTGCAGACTTCATCCAAATCATGCATGACATTTGGATGTAGAGAAGGTGGTGCTGAGAGGTCGGCTTAAATGTGGTTGTCCGCTTGTTTTACCGATGACATTCAGGTCACCGTGTTTAGGCTCTGACCATGATCTCACTGGCATCCCAAGTAGTGGGATGAACTCTACAGTGGGGGTAGCCGCGTATTCCTTTGTAATGAAATCAAGACAGCAACACCTAATGATGAAAGCCTTGCGGTTGCGATTGAA